GTCATATCCTGTGACGTCCCCTGTGACGTCACACCGCGCGTTCCCCTCCCCTCCCCGTGTGACGTCATACCCCCCTCCACCAGTGACGTCATACCGCCTCCCCGCATGACGTCATTACCCCTCCCCCTCTCCTCCCCTGTGTGACGTCACCCCTTNCCCTGTGACGTCATACCCCGCACCCCCTCGGAGCTCCTGAATTAGAACTCCCATATATACACTACTTTTGAAGAATATTATTAGAGTTCATTTTTAAATATTTTTATTTGGTAAATTACAAAAAGACATTTTATAAAAGCGAAATCTTAAAGTATTTAATTGATATATCATATTATATGAATATATTTTGATAAAAAATATAGAAACGGTAAATATGCATAAAAACGGAGCACCCTCGGAGATCATTGTCCTTGACATATGTTGTCAAGGACACCTTCTTGAACAACAATATGAAAATTTTAGCCGTCGCTCGTTGTTCGTTAAAAAATTANAAACAACAGAAGTTGCGTCAATAAACTGTTATTTTCCGACACCGTGTACATTTTGTTCGTGTTGTAAGCGTGTAGGCAGAGAGAAGGGTCGAAGTCTCTCTTTCCTGCTACCTTCGCGCGGAAAAATGAAGAAAGAATTTTGCTTAAATGTCGCTTCATGGTGATAGTGTTTATTTTACTTGCAATGTAGCGGCTAGGATGTATGCAGCAGTGAGGTCAAGCAGCCAGTGGTGAGCAGCGTGGATGTGGTTAGAGACGGATGTCACTCAATAAAGACAGCGAGATCTTGTAATTAAATTGATATATATATTTATATGACTATTTACAAGAGACGCTTGGGTAAACTCGTACCGATATATATATTTATATGACTATTTACAAGAGACGCTTGGGTACGAGTTTCTGTGCATATAAAGCTTGTTTTTGGTTATTGTGTATTGGCTCTGAAAAGGGCCAATTGAGGCTGTGACTAAGTCACTAGAATTAATCTCCGGCGCCGGACCCCTCCTTCCACTGAATGTGCGGCTTGCAGCGGGTGATGCAAATCCGCCTTAAAGTCTTGCGGAGTTCGGGCTGCGCCCTCTTGCCGCTTGGCCTGCAGCTCGCAGCTCGACGTTGTATCGACGNGGTGTAGCTCCTCTCGCCGGGACAGAACTCCTTTGGAACTTTGGTTTGAATCGCTGCTGCTTGTGTTCTGGCTCCTCCCAGTCGGAGTCGGCCTGGCACTCCTGTTCCCGAGTAATAGGGATACACTGGATGGCGCGGTTGACTTGCGCTCGGCGAGGTGTTGGTGCTTCTCGTTGTCCGACTGCCAGAAGTCGTTTGCGTTGCGCAGTCCGCTGAGTTTGGCCTCAACGGAGAGATCAACCGAGCTAGATGCAGGAAATCTTCCATCGGGGACATGTATCGTCAAATCCGGACGTCTGCTGAGCAGAGGAATATCCTTGGAGGCCTGGTGAGCCGTTCCGGAGAACCTCCACCGGAATGAGCCGCCACGGGAGAAATTGCCAACAGATTTGCCTCTTCTTAGCGTAGACCTCGTGTAGAAAGCTGTTTTCCCCTGATGATCGGAGGAGCGCAGATCTACCGCTGGGTACCTTAAGTATACCTCTCTTTATGATGCTAATGTAGAGAACTTCAGAAGCTACTCGCTAGTCTGAAGTGTACTCTGTGACTGCTCTGAGAGAAGTGATGATTGCTGTCGCTCGGCGAGGCCGTTCTAAAGGTCAAGTCGCAAAACTCTCTTGAGCGCGAAAGGTCGCCCTCATGCGCCGCTAAGCGGCAGCGCGCTGAAACGCTGCCTGCAGCGCCGGCCTGCCTACGTAAAACTACTAGCGCGGTGCGTAATGCGCTGTACACAGCTGCGACCCTGGCTGCCTCTTTGCAGGCGCCGTGGTGGCTAAACTTAGCCGCCACATGCAATATTCTACAATGCTATGTCTGTTATTATAATACATAAGTGTTATTCGTTGTTATTTAAAGGATAAGTTTCGGACATTATGGTGAAAAAATTGTCTATGCGTTTGTGATGTACGAACCTTTGTTTGAATAAAAATTCGGCTATGTAAAATCTGTAATAGTCTACCGATGTCCCAAAAAGTGGAATATTATCTCGCATACACCAATGTACGAATTCTTGAGCAAACAATACGGATCACTGATTTTAATCTTTGATGCAGTGCTGTCTTCTTCTTAGCAAGCAGCAGTTATTTCGTGGACGAAAACAAACAGCCCCAAAAATTTTTTCTGTAACAAAAGAAGCCATTCCGCTTCAATTGATTGTCTCAAACATCTTCATTTTGTTTCCAATAGCCCAGAAATTTTTTGTAAATATTATTAATTGATCTATTAGATTTTTAGTTGCTCAACGAGCTTTTTGTTAGTGCTGGTTGAAATAAACAAATCAATAGTTGTATCAACACTTAGATAGATAAATAACGAGGAGCGGGGGGTTTGTGAGACCCTATTGTCACCTAGATCTATAAGATCCTCTGCGACTTCCGCTAGTTGTTTATCGACCAAGCTGCTAAAATCCGGCATTTGCTGCCAGGCTACACAGATGGCCGATTTTATTTATTTTTAGGTCCTCGGGCTCCACAAACATGGAGCCCAAAAATCTGAATCTCTTGAGTGCTAGAGACGGGCAGCGACACAATATGTGCACGCTGTCCTCCCCCTCTTCGCCACAAAATCTACAACTACTCTCCTCAACTAGGCCTAAGTTGAATAGATGTGCCTTAAAGGCCCAATGCCCTGTGAGAAGACCGATACACAGTCTTTGTTTGTACTTACTCATTGTCAGTAGTTCCTTTATCCTACCTGGAAATATGATGGCTGAGTCATCAGGGCCTTAGCTTGGCGGCAGCTCTTTACTATCTCCCAAGAGATCCTGTGCTCCCTTTTCAGCCAGTCCTTGATATGATTTTTTCCTGTTGCAAAGGGAACTCCAACTATCTGGCAGACTGGTTCCTCTAAGGTACCCAGTTTTGCCAGACTATCAGCTACTTCATTGCCGTGGATACCTTGGTGGCCAGGTACCCAGACAAGCGTGATGTTGTTTCGCTCGTCCAATCTGTTTAGAGCTTGCATACAGTCCCAAACCACTGAAGATTCAGTGGTGGTCTTGGCAAGAGCTCCTATGGCTGCTTTGCTATCCGTATAGATATTGATCCTCCTAGTTTTCGTCTCTCTTAAGAGTAGGAGTCTTGCACATTCCAGAATGGCCATGACTTCCGCTTGAAAGACCGTGGCCAATTTACCCAGAGAGAAAAACTCTCTGTGATTTGATCTCGGACAGTAGATGTCTGCTCCATAGCAGCCGTTTGCTCCAGATCCATCAGTAAACCATGCATGAGTACCCGGCTGGATCTGAAGAGTTTTGTTTTTCCAGTCTGCCCTGGTGATCAAGTTTATGGAGAACGCCTTGTCCACTTGGCGTATTCTGGATATTCTGTCTTGCTTTAAGGTAAAGGGAGGTTTGTGAAGAAACTCGAGCCTGGTATGACTTACTCCGAAATTTCTCCACTCTCCCTGACACCTTAGTCTATATGCTGTGAGTTTGGCAGCGCTGATGACAGTCAATCTTAGAGGTGGAATGCAGAGTGCCACTTCCAGCGCTTCTGTTGGTGTCGTTCTCATAGTCCCTACCGCAGCCCTCAAGTAATTACCTTGTAGGCTTTTTAGTAGGTTCTTTGACTCCATCTTTTCCACTCTGNGCCACCAAACAACAGCAGCATATGTTAACCTCGGTACAAGTACCGCTTTGTATATCCACAGGGCACTATTTAGTTTAATACCCCAGGATTTTCCCATTGCTCTTCTACACGCCCAATACGAGGCGTAGAATTTGGATCTCTTTATATCGAGATGTGTTTTCCAATTCAGTTTGGTGTCTAAGTGGACTCCCAAATATTTTACTGACTGGACGTATTCTATATCTTCTCGCCAGAGTCCAAGCGGCTCAATGGCTTCAAGTTTGTATTTCCTGGTGAAAATCATGGTCTTAGTCTTTAATGGATTAGCTCTAAGTCCTTTTGATTGACACCAGTCTTGCGTGATCTTAAGGGCTTTCTGCATAGTTTCCTTAAGTGTTGAAAGAAAATTATCTCGCACTATAATGGCCACGTCATCAGCGTAGCCAAAGACGAGGAAGCCTTTCTTCTGTAATTCTCGTAAAAGTTCATCCGCGACCAGACACCAGAGTAGGGGAGATAAAACTTTTCCCTGCGGGCATCCTTTAGCGGGGAAACCATACACACTTGAGTCCCCATGATTGGCAATCAGGGTTCTTCCTGTTATCATGCTTTGTGTCCAGTCTGCTAGAGCAGCGGAAATGTGATGCCCGGTCATTGCTTCCTTAATGACATCATATGAGGTGCTATCGAAAGCTCCCTCAATGTCTAGAAAGACGCCCAGGACATATCCCTTTGCTTCCAATTGCACTTTGACTCTGTCCACGAGATAGTGCAAGGCAGTATCTGTGGATCTGCCCTCCCTGTAGGCATACTGAGCCGAAGACAGCGGATGTATTAGCAGAGGGCCGATTTTCAGATATCTATCGACCAATTTCTCCAGTGTTTTCAGTACAAAGAAACTGAGACTGATCGGTCTGAAGTCTTTGGCTGTTATATGGCCATTTCTACCAGGTTTGGGTATAAAGACTACTCTTGTACCACCCCAAGCCTGGAGGACGTGTCTTAGGGCTATGCTAGCCCTGAAGATTTTTGTGAGTGAACCTATGAGAACCCCCAGCCCCTCTTGAAGAAAAACCGGGTAGATTCCATCCAGTCCAGGTGATTTATAGGGATAGAAGGTGTTAACAGCCCATTCAACTCCCTTTGGAAAACCAACCTCAGCTGCCAGACGCCAGTCCCTGGGTTTATATTCCCTAGGCTTTGGTCGGCAGGGTTATACGTTATGATCAAAACCTGGGAAGTGGACTTTCATTAGATGTTTCAATGTGTCCGTTGCCTCCTCAGTGACATTCCCCGTTGGGAGCTTGAGACAGCCTAATTAGGGACGGTGATCCAAACTGAGGATTCTGTGAAGCCTGGATGCCTCCGGGGCGCTCTCAATGCTTTCACAAAAACGTCTCCAGCTTTTGCACTTCGATTTCTTAATCTCCTTGCTGTACTCTCGTTGAGAGCTTCTAAAGGCCTCCCAGTGTACTGCAAGTCCTGTTCTTTTCGTCTTGCTGAATTTTTTTCTCGTTTCCAATCTGAGCTTACCGAGCTCTTTATTCCACCAGTGGATCTTGTTCACCGGATTCCTAGGTTTTGGTGAGCAGTTTAATTCAAAGGCGTTTGTAATGACGTTCTTTAAAAAGTCCGCCACGTTTTCCAAGTTGCTTTTGGTTCTAAAACTGGTTGGGGCCATAGCGAGCTGGGCCTTGAGGTCAGCCCTAAAGCCCTCCCAGTTGGTTTTTTGTGGGTTGCGAACCCAGCTGATTTGCGGTATTTGTTGGAGAGTTAGGCGTATTTGTCTGTGATCGGAGCCAGAGGGCTTATCCGAGACTCTCCAGTCGTCCACCAGACCCNCCACCCTCTCCGTACAAACCGTTATATCGATGATTTCCTGTCTTCTGGAGTCCAGGAATATCGGCTCGTTTCCTCTGTTGAAAATGGTTAATCCTGTGCCCATTAGGTAGTCGTGGAGACTCTCCACCCGCAGGTTGGTGTCTGTGCTTCTCCATCCTACAAGGTGGGAGTTCGCATCGCAACCGAGCAGGAGTTCGAGCCCCCTGGCTTCCGCATAGGCCACCAGGTTTTGTACCTCTTCATGTGGTTAGGTTCGTGGAGTCATAGGGCATATAAATTGATCCTTTTAATACTTCCATGTCCTCTTTTTCGGCTAGCTTCACTCTCACCTTGATGACTGTGAGGTCCTCGCTGCTGAGCTGTGGCAGAAATATAGCATTTAGTCCTTTTACNAAAATGCATGATCTGACTCTATTTTCTGAGTGTGCTTTGTATAAGCAGCCGCACCCACTCAGTCCCTTTACTGCACCATTCACAATCCATAGTTCTTGGATTAGTGCAATACTTGTATGCATCACAGCCATGCTCCTGGCTAGGATAGCCGAGGCGCCCTTGCTGTGATGCAAGTTAATCTGGATCATTTGGATGCCGAGAGAAGCTATTTTTAGGCAGTCCCGACACCCTCCGACTCCATCTCTTTCTCCGTCGCCTCCTCGCGCTCTCGTCCCGCCATCCTAACGGTGGCCCGGCCGAGACCGAAAAAAGGCCTGAAACCACAGTGCTTCAAAGCTTCCATCACCGAGTCGCCAACCAAACAGGAGAAGTGGGCGCTCCCTTAGCATCCCTTCTATACGTCTCCCTGGTGACGACCCAATCGCTGGTTGCCAGCCCTGTGTTTTGCTGGTTAAGGAGCTTTAAAGCATCCTCAACCCCTACTTCAAGCTCCTCCACATACACCACCACCCGATGACGCTTAGGTAGCTCACCAATCGGCAGCACACACAGAGGAGTTCCCCTTACATTTAAATCGGAGGAATGGGCCTTAAGCCACTCCGCTGACTCTATGTTGGCGCACACAACCATGAGTGCGCCATCTCTCTCCCAAGAACCAGTGAAGGTGGGGGCTTTGTCATTCTCAGACATGCCAAGGATGACAGACCTGACCATTTTTCTGATCTCAACCACCTCACCGGCTCTTATTTTTTTGTCAGGGTAGCCCTCCAGTACGAGGGCCATCCTGACAAGACCTTTTGTCGCCTGTGCATACGACCCTTCATTTTTGGGTCTCTTGCCCTGGCGATTTTGTGAGGGGCTGGGAGTAGCGTGCTCCGGCCTGGCTCGCTTTGCCGCGCTACCTGAAGCCCGCCTACCCCCAGCCTCATCTTTTGAACAGGAGGCTGCGGGGGTAGAGAGGACCTTATTGGTCCCACTCTCCCCGGCTTGCATTTGTTTATTATAACGGCGCCTAGCGGCCCCGCTATATCTTATGCGGTATTTTGGGGCTTCTGAGCCCGCTCCTGCACTGCAAGATTCCCCTGG